ATACCAAAGGCGCCTACTTTATCTGGATTTGATAATTGTAGTGTTGTGACGAAATAAGAGGTAACACTCACCACATTCGCAGAAGGAGTTGTCAAAGATACAAAGTTTCAAGCAGTAGAGATGGAGATGGCTTAGAATATGATCCTTGAGAGACCATGGATCCATGAAATGGATGTCGTTCCTTCAACCTTGCATCAAGTTATTAAATTTCCATCACCATGGGGAATATGTCAAATCCGCGAAGATCAACAAACATTCAGGAGCATCAACTCTGTAGAAAATTCAAGTACGAAAAAAGAAGAAAAATAGCAATTACAGAAGACAGTTGAGGGCACCACTGCACAAACCTCAACTGAACAAGGGCGGACAGATGTGGATTCAACGCCTGATACCATTCAAGAACCAGAAGAAAACGAAAATATCAAAACAAAAATTGAAGAACTGGAGGCTGTGATGTTATTTGCACAATGGCCTGATAAGAAAGTCTATGTAGGGGCCAATCAAAGCCAAGGCATGAGAGGTAAGTTATTTTTGAAAACTAACGTGGACTGTTTTGCTTGGTCCCACTCTGACATGACAGGAATACCCCAGAGGTAATGACTCACAAATTGAATGAAGAACCAACGCACCCTCCTGTCAAACAGAAGAAAAGAAAGCAAGGAACTTTCAAGAATCAGATGATTCAAGAAGAGGTTCAAAAATTACTAAAGATTGGATTCATCCGCGAAGTAAAGTATCCTAATTGGTTAGCCAATACTGTTGTAGTTCCAAAGAAGAATAGAAACTGGCGAGTTTGTGTGGATTACACAGATCTTAATAAAGCTTGTCCTAAAGATTCTTTTCCGCTACCACATATAGATCAACTAATTGATGCTACTGCAGGGCATGAACTACTAAGTTTTTTAGATGCATATTTAGGGTACAATCAGATCAAAATGGATCCAGTAGATGAAGAAAAAACTTCATTCATAACAGATAGGGGGACTTATTATTATAAAGTAATGTCTTTTGGTCTTAAAAATACTGGGGCAACATATCAAAGGCTGGTTACTAAAATGTTTCTAGAACATTTGGGAAAAACCATGGAGGTTTATATAGACGATATGCTCGTTAAAACTCAACATTCGAGAGATCATATATCACACTTTTCTGATACATTTCAGATTTTATGCAAATTTAATATGAAATTAAATCCAGAGAAATGTGCATTCGGTGTCGCGTCAGGTAAGTTTTTGGGTTTTCTTGTTTCTAACCGTGGTATTGAAGTGAATCCCGCACAAATTAAGGTCATTGAAGAAATTCCTGATATGCTTTCAAGCAAAAAAAGAAATGCAGAAGTTGACAGGAAGAATTGCAGCCTTGGGAAGATTCATTTCTAAATCATCAGAAAAGTGCTTTAAGTTCTTTTCAGCTCTTAAAAAGCAAGATCACTTTGAATGGAACGAGGAATGTCAGTAGGCACTCAAAAATTTGAAGATATATTTATCAAATCCACCGTTTCTTGCAAAACCCAAGGCTGGGGAAAGACTGCTCATCTACCTTGCTGTTTCAGAAGTAGCGGTAAGTGCTGTTTTAGTCCGTGAGGACCAAGGTAAACAATCTCCGATCTATTATGTTAGCAAATCTTTGTTAGATGCAGAGACACTGTACTCTTAGTTGGAAAAGCTTGCACTTGCATTAATCATGGCATCTAGAAAATTAAGGTCTTATTTTCAATATCATCCTATTGCTGTAGTAACTGCTTATCCATTACGCAATATATTACATAAGCATAAATTGTCAGGTAGGTTAGCTAAGTGGGCTATAGAATTAAGTGAATATGATATCACCTACCAACCTAGAACTGCTATAAAATCTCAAGTATTAGTTGATTTCGTCGCTGATTTTAGCCAAGGGATGCAATTGGAAGTAGAAAAAGAGTTGCAGGTGTTCAACGGAGCTAACCCAGGAACTTGGACCTTGTTTTCTGATGGTTCATCTAACGTAAAGGGTGCTGGTTTAGGGATTGTTTGGTACCACCTACGGGTGAAACCATTCGACAAGCCATATAATGTCATTCTATAACTAACAATGAGGCAGATTATGAAGTTGTGATTGCATGTTTAGAACTGGCATGAGAACTTGGCATAAATCAGATTATAATGAAAAGCGATTCACAGCTCGTAGTTAATCAAATGCTGGGGGACTTATACGGCCAGGGAAGCAAGGATGCAACAATACTTAGCGAAGGTACGGGATTTGATAAAGCAATTTCAAACATGGAAAGTAACACTAATACCAAGGGATGAAAATGTTGAACCCGACGCCTTAGCTAATCTTGCATCTGCGGCGGATGTGGAAAGCAATGAAAATGCTTCAGTTATTCACTTATTTCATTTAGTTCTCGGCCCCGATAGGAATGAGGTAAATTTTAATAACTTAACTTGAGACTGAAGGAACGAGATTGTTGCTTTTTTGTAGTATGGTACCGTCCCTAAAGATAAGAAAAAAGCTCATGTCGAAAAAAGGTTACTCGATATTGCTTAAAGCAAGACAATCTTTACCGAAAAATGTTCGGTGATCCCTTAGCAAGATGCCTCGGACCTTCTCAGAAGGAATACGTAATGAGAGAAATACACGAGGGCCATTGTGAGAATCACGTAGGAGGAAGATCATTGGTAAGAACCTTAATTAGGGCATGTTATTATTAGCCCAAAATGGAAGAAGAAGCGAAAATTTTCGTGGCTAAATGTGATAAATGCCAAAGGTACGGTAATAATATGCATAGGCCTACGGAGTTACTACATCCGGTCATTGCACCATGGCCATTTATGAAGTGGGGAATGGATATCGTGGGTCCACTACCACAAGCAAAAGTTCATGTAAAATTTTTGGTCGTACTCACTGATTATTTTACTAAATGGGTGGAGACAGGAGCATTCAAACATGTGCGAGAAAAGGAAGTTAGAGATTTCATTTGGCGGAATATCATATGCCGATTTGGTGTGCCAAAGGAAATCGTGTGTGATAATGACCCTCAGTCTATAGGTGCTCAAATCACAGAGTTCTTTTAAAGTTGGAAAATTAAAAGGATTACATCCACACCTTATCATCCGGTGGGTAATGGGCAAGTTGAGTCAACAAACAAAGTCATTATCAATAATTTAAAGAAACGTTTAGAGGAATCCAAATGTAATTGGCCAGAAGTGTTACCTGGTGTTTTATGGGCATACCGCATAACAGTGAAGACAAGTACAAGAGAAACACCATTTTTTTAGTTTATGGAGCTGAAGCTTTAATTCCAGTTGATATAGGAGAGCCGAGTACAATGTTCACACATGCGTCCAAAGAATCTAATGACGAGGAAATGTGTGTAAATCTTGATTTACTTGAAGGAAAAAGAGAAGTTGCGCTAATAAGAATGGCAGCACAAAAGCAGGTCATAGAACAATACTATAACCGAAAAGCACGCCTCAGATTCTTCAAAATTGGGGACTTCGTGCTCAAAAAGGTTTTTCAATCTACAGGCAGCTAATGCAGGAAAATTAAGTCCAACATGGGAAGGACTCTATAGAATTCGTGATATTGCAGGAAAATGAGCATACGAGCTGGAAACAATGGATGACAAGATACTACCTTCACATTAGAATGTTGTTCATCTGAAGAGATACTATTTCTAAGGAATACCCGCGGTCAGGTATCCATATGTCTTTAATTTAATTTTTGAATTGTTAAAATTTTACTAACAATTTTAGATGATAGGCAAAAAGCTAACCCGTACTAAATGATGAGTCACGACCTGCAAGGCACGTGGAATAAATTAAAGTTCCTTGCCTAGGGTTACAATTATTCTGATAGAAATTCAAACGGGTTAAGCAGTCTTCAGCTATAATCGTATCTCCGAGTCCCGTATATTTTTTCTTTACAGGGAAAGGACCAAATGAGAGGAACAATCAAGTGCTCAAGACTTCATACTTCAACACTCAAACACTTGGGGGACTAGATAATATACACGGGCATGAGTATAAGAAAAGGCAAAGAAGATCAAGCCCTGAAAAGTTCACTCATTGAATAAGTCAAGTGCAGAGCAAAGTCACGAGCTAAGGCCAAAGAAAAACCTTACCATAGTTAGGGTAAAGGCTATGTACTGAAATGAGTTATAGATAAAAACCTGTCACGAGCTAAGGCCAAAGAAAAACCTTACCATGGTTATGGTAAAGGCTATGTATTGAAACGGGTTATAGATAAAAAGCTCGTGTTTATTTTTCTTTTTTAAATCTGTTACAAGGAAAACAGTTACGAGAAAGTTATAGATGTAATTCAAATACGTGTAAAGTGTTATTCAAAACTAGACAAAGTTCAAATAAAAACATGTCAAAGTTATTTCAATGAAATATGTGTATTCCTATTTCTTTTATCGTATGATAATACCATTATGAAGTTGAGACGTCTTCTTCATTAAGTGTCGAGTATAAAAGGGCCCTCTTTTATAAAATTCATGATTAATGTAAATATTCATGAAGTCAATAGAAGCATTTTTTAAAGAATAAAAATGCAAATTATTCTATAAGTCCTTAGAAATAAAGGAAAGAATAAACTAAACGAAAGTTCAAGAAAACTTCTTAATATTAAAAAGCTTAAGACTAAGTACAAACTTAGTCATAAACTGCAAATTGTTTATTCAAATTGCCCCATGAAAGGCCCGGGGACTTTNTCAAGAAAAAAATTCTTATTATTAAAAAGCTTAAGACTAAGTACGAACTTAGTCATAAACTGCGAGTTGTTTATACAAATTGCCCCATGAAAGGCCCGGGGACTTGAATTTCCAAAACAAACCCTCAAATAAGACCAAAGGTTTTACCACAATTTTCTCAAAAAACAAAACAACACAAAGAAATTAAAATGACTTAAACTTATCATTAAGAAGATGTGGGAAATGAAATAGGTGCATCAACAACAGTGGGCTCAACTGGGCTTGAATGAGTTGGGATACCCGTATCAATTTCAACATTCATGGAAGCCTCAGACACGGGAGAAGGAAAATCTTGAGTTTGCTGAGCCTTCTCAATAGTTTCATTGATTTTAGCTAACTCAGATTCCAAGTTAAAAGTTTCTTGGCTAGCCTCAACTAGGGTATCACGGCGAGAATTCAAAAACGCCCAACTCACTTCAATGGTAGACTTATCCCCAAGGATTTCGTAATCTCTTTCCCAGTCAACAATTTAATTCTTTAACTTTTCATTTCCAGCCAAGGCAGACGTGTAAGAAGCTTGAAGAGAGGTATGAGAACTTTCTAAGGCACAAACCTTATCAGTAGAAGCTCGGAGGTTTTCTTGTGCCTGAGTCAAATTCTACACGAGCTCACCAGCATAAGCTTCTTTCTCACCCAAGAGAGCCTTTAACTCTCTAATCTCTTCCCTAGCTTTTGACAGCTGCTCTGAGAAAGAAGTTTCAAGACGAGCTTTTTCTTTATCTACTTGACTTGAGGAAGCCTTTTCAACTGCCAACTCCGTAGTCAAGGCCTGAACCTGCTACTCCAAGGTACTCTTACTTTCTTCTAAATATTCCACATCAATCTGAAGGCTTTCATACTGTTCCTTCCAATTTTACGCCCTAATTGAGAATCACGCACTAACTACTCTGAGAGGGCGACCCTTTTCATCATCTCCGTGCCAATAAGATTGGCCTTAAAAAGGGATAAATAAAGGGAAATAAGAACCCCAAAGATAGAAAAATTACAAAGTAAAAGTTTTAAAAAAAAACAAAAGAGAAGGGGAATGCCTTTAGAGAAGCGTGCACAATGTCATTCATCAAGGTCAAGGAACTATGGCTCTCTAGTATGGCTTTCTCAATTGGTCAAATTAAGGGCTTTAGATATACATCTGTTTGACCCGATTTCCTTAAAAGATTGCCCTCACCGGGGACTTCAATGATCACTTGCCTCATAGCACCACTCCTGCTTGTGGAGCCAACTTCAGCACGGGGGGTGATTGGAGGAGCAATTATTGAAGGAGGAACAATAGAAGTAGTAAAGACAGTCTAGGGAGGAATGGAAACAGCCGAGATCAGCAAAGAAGGAGTCACAGACACGAGTGTAGAAAAAGAAGCCAGGGGTGCTTCATCAAGAACTGGGCCTAAGCCTTCACCACCAAACTCGCTGATGAAAAGCTGCTCAACAGAATCATGAGCAGCAATGGGAGCAGTGTCATCATCAGAAATTACTACCGGGGCCTCAACAGACTCGGTAAGGAGAGTAGAACGGCGAGGGGATGCTTCTTCTTCATCATCAGAAATGATGCGTCTTCGAGCCCGTGGCCTTGTTACCAAAAAGCCCCCATCTTTCTCTTCTTCAGAGCCTTGGTCATCAACGACTTTACTTTTCGATGAAGAACCTAAGATTATTTCTTGGGCCCTTTCCAAAGAGATGCGAGAAGTCGCGACCGCCTCAGCAGTGACTCCTCGAATAGCAAATCCTGATAGAAAGAAGGATTGAAATAGGTTCAGGAGATAACAATATGTAAAGTAAAATAAAAAAGACTCTTACCATGAGTTTTTACTTTCCAACCAAAACGTTGAGAAAGGGTTTTCCAAGATCTACCATCCATTGGTGCAATCTTCAACAGCTTGTCTACCCAATCACGAAAATTGGGAACATCTTCCACAACTCCCATGGTTGCTGAAAAAGAAAGGCAAAATTAGAAAAATTAACAAAGTTGAAGAAAAAGGTACGAGAAAGTTAGAAGACTCACGTGCAAAATTTCACTTCTCAGGGAAGGGAACGTTCTCATCACCCCTAAACCAACAGTGGGAGCAGCGACAAACCGGGCATACCAGCCACGGTCTTTGTCATCTTCAGGGCTAACTAGAACTCTTTTGCTCCTGGATACTAGTGTAAAAACACCATTGCGAAAGAGTCTAGAGGAGTAAATGTGAATCAGATGCGGGAAAGTAAAAGGCACAATGGTTGTGTTAGTCAAATGCCTCAAATAGGCAACAACCCTCCATATTATTGGGCCAATTTGACCTAAGCAAACATCAAAGAAACGACAGAACTCGAGAATAACAGGATCAATAGCAGGTTTGAATCCTAAAGTGAAAGGGTACGTATAAACAAATGAAAATCCGGTTAAGTAGGAGGTAATTCTTTGATTCGGATTGGGAATAATGATAGGAAAGTCATGATCCCAATGGCAGTCTCTACGAACTAAAGAAATCAAACCTTCAGTGATTTGAGTGGGATAGATATCAGCGTGATCTAAAAAAGATACTTGATTTCTAAGAGATTCTCTGTCGTTATAGAAAGATAGTCCCACAGGAACTATCTCCTCTACTAGAGGTTCACGAAGAGGTTCAGAAGATTCCTTACCTCTAGAAGAAGATCTGTATGAAAGAGAAACTCTAGTTCTAGATGAAGGGCCAGAACTAGGTGAAGGAAGGGAAGAACCACGCAAGGATGAAGATCCTAAATTACGAAGCCTACCTCCTCTTCTGCTCCTACTGGGGACATCAGGGAAGTTATCAACTATGGGGACCCTTCTACGGTTAGGGTTTAATGAAGACATGATGATACGATGAAGAAGCAAATAGAGATTTGAGAAAATTGGATGTTCAAAAAACTTTATGTGGTAAAGACAAAGAAGGAAGTTATATTTATACTGATAAGCAATCGCCAAAGGAAAATGTACAATGATGGAAGGACCATAATAATGATAACTGACACTTCGTGAATAGTGAAACTGTGAAAAAGCCTTAAAAAGTGCTGCAAAATTGCAAAACTAATGAAAAGATGACACGTGTGAAGAGTATTAAATGGAAGTGACAATTAAAGCATCGATTCTGTCATAGCATTAATGGTGATAAAAATCCTTATTTTTAATGAAATCCACTTCCTAGATATTGAATCGATGAATAAATGGCAAGTTAGGGGACTATCTGTATTGAGAAAAATTGAGTTTACATATTAAAGTGGTGTAAAAATGACGTGTCATGACACATAGACTGGTCAAAGAGTTACAACTGACAAAGAGACACGAGTTGCAACAGATACGAGCAGAGGCAAAGGAAGAGGCACGAGCGGTTATGTAAAAGACTCAACGCTCGTACTTATTTAAGTCCAAGAATTAAGGGGAATGAATCTGACACTACATGGGAGTATAGATACAGTATTTATTGAGCCTTAAATACTAAAAATGTCAGAGAATCTGTATTAAATGCAATGATTATGTAACATAGCATTTAATATCTTTAATTGTCCATGATGACCTATTTATGACAAAGGCAAAACGCATATCCCCAAAATAGCTATAAAAGGGGGAGAATGGGTCAATTGTAACACACACGAAAAACTATCTGAATATACTGGTTTACTTGTTTTCTTTTAATTATATCATTGCTAGTAAAATTACTTTCTTCTATACTTTCTTTGATTATCAGTAACCCGAGTTCTTCTAAATTATCGATTTGACCGAAATTCCACTTTTTGGTTAAACAACATTGCTTATATTCTTGTTTACTGCCATATTTCGTTGTCAGAAGGAAGAATCTTCCACATCATTTGATATTTGGGTGAAGTGTTCTTCCTATTTACATTTATTGCCATTTCTCGTATTTATTGCTCATTACTCACTCTTCATTTACTCTCTAAAGTGCACATTTAATGATTGATTAAACGATTCTGAGCATTAAATAATCGGTATCACCCAAACTCTAAGCTAGATCTAAGAATTATTATGCTTGACTAGGATTCACCTTTCACCTCAGTTATCAGTTAATTAGTTTAACAAAAAGTACAATACTTTTTAGTCAAACAAATCCGACCCATCCTTTATACATATTTAATTTTACTAGTCTCTATGTTCGTGCCTTGTACGAATATCTTTTGTATACCAAAAAAAGGCATCAATATTTAATATTCTTTGTGAGCGTAACAATTTAAGTTTGTTAAGCCTTAATGATTATACAAGCCATATCTCAAGATCAAAAGACATTAATAACTTGGGAAAAAGTATTTGGTCATCATGTCTTTATCTTTGTTTTAGGATTTTCTATTTTAAATTTACAAATTTATATTTACAACATTATTAATTCTTAACCATCGATATTATTTTAAACAGATATTTGTTTGACTGCACAAAAGAAAATAGGATTGCCAAATTTTTTGCTTATAGGAATATATATATTCTTTCTCCAAATATGATTTCATTGCCATTCTTCAGAAACTTGTAATAAAAAAGAAAAAGCTGCAAAATATTTTTTAATCTTAATATACAAGATATCCCGTCAAGGTTGCACACTGAATTTTCTTTAAGAATTTTCCATTCTGTCTCGCAATAACTTGTTTATGTATTAATCACAGCCTTAAATATCTTACGCTCCTTTTCTGTAGGAGACAAGCAGTCAGCTGGGAAATTCTAGAAGACAATTTGACTTGGGGTACTCAGACAAGCAGTCACAAAAATACATTATTCAAATAAGAAGGAAGCAGTCTATTACAGAATTACTTATACGAATTTTGTAAATTAAAAAATTCAAATAAACTGAAGGAAAAACAATCACACTCAAATCTTCCAAGCAAATTGCAATCATGACAAGTAGTAGTGGAAGAAGAGCCAATGTTGTAGGAAGTGTAGAATCAATGCCTAGAACGAATTCTTGAAACCTCTAGATGCTCTAATGTGTTCTTGCAAAAGATAATACCCAATAACTAGGCAAATCAACATACCAATCCAACTATTCCTAAAGGTGTCAGCCAACAAACTAGGAGCCACCACCATTATAGTTAAACTATATTGCTAGCTTCAGAATACTAGCTTAACAGATTTTTATAATTCAGAAGACTAGCTTCAGAAGAGTAACTTCAGAAGACTTACTATAACAAATTATAAAATTCTAGTGATTAATCACGTAACTGCAGAGATTTTTCTCAGGCATATTTTCAAACACTTCATATGCCATCAAAAAATCCAGATTTCACATAAAAAAATAACAACCCAATAGTCTATTATCAAGAAGATGAAAGTTAATGATAATATAAACACCATAATGATAAACAGGTTTAACATATCTTACCCAACTAGACCCAAAGTGTCATGAATCTTATTTTTTGTTCAATTCAAGCGTTTTAACCTGTAGTGCTTCCGTGAACATGAGACTATAGCTTCAGTGAGCATGAGACTATATATTTATGAAACTTAACACATAATCTTTTTCAAAAGAAATTGCCAACAAGGCTTTTACAAAGCAAATTCTTATGCATGAACACTAGACGACAACCCAAAACTCAATTTATAAAATTTTCTTTAGTTCAAGTTTTGCCCACATTAGTTATGCTTCAATCATATCAATATTTTTACTCATCTAGAAAAATATCAAAGAAAATATAACTAATCAATTATCATATCAAATAATATGCATTTGAGAGCAAATGAAGAAACTACCATTATAGTCTCTAACTTAATACAAATACCACCTTCATCTACCAGGTGCAAGTATATATAGTTGCAAAATGCATCTGCTGTTGAAAGTTTTGTATTAAATAATATGTGTACATATATATATATATATATATATATATATATATGCATCTATCTTAAATTGATAGGCTCTAGATTCTATTTTTAGATGGTCAAGAAAGCATTTTACATTCAGATTATTGATTAAGTGCTCAAATACACACATCTAATTCTAATGTAAAAAATGTGTAGAATGTTTCAAAAGAACATCATTCGCAAAGAAGTATTATGTTTTCTTATAATCATACAATAACATATATGTGCCTTATAAAATAAAAAACTACATGTCTATTGATTTAGGCATATAACCATATAAGAACAAAATAAGAATGGAATGTCAACATGTAAAAGGCCTCTCAAGAAGAAGCTTTTAACTTACCCAGAAAAAGAAATAGTTGAGATTCTGTGAACACCAAATAGGCTTCAAATGATTCTTTCTGTGTTATTTTTTTTGTATTCCTGTAGATTATCAAATGCCTGAGAGAAATTCGAGATGAAATCTGAGAATACAAATGTGAAATCGCTGAAACAATAATTATCCCTAACTACATGTTGAAAATTTTGTCTTACAAAATCATTATAAAAAAACCCAAATGCAAATATATCTTATATAAATCAATATGGGTTTTCAATTAGACATATGATAGTAACAAAATAAGAAGGTTTTCTGTTAGATTATGGAAGAGAAATCGTTCGTTCCATTGTACCTCCACTAAATCGATTACCGCAAAGCAATTTCTTTCCCCAAAGAAAACCGAAAAGATTAGGGATTTTAATGTACCTGACAAATGAGATTCACATTTTGATTTGAGGGATTTCGATTAAGGTGAAATTTTAGCAGAAGAGTACTGATTTCTAGAGAGGTCCGATTTTAAGAGAGTTTTGTGAGCTTATGTTCTTCACTTTAATTTGTGCTCTTCGATGTGTTCGAGAGTGTTTAATTAGGAGAGAGAGATCTATTTTTATTTTCCTTTATTATTTTAAAAGTGAATAGGAGCGGTCCAGTCGCTGCAAGACAGATTTAGCGGCGACTTCTCAAAGTCGCCACGAAAAATGGGACTGAAAATTTTAGCCACATCAAAGGCGACCTAGAAAAAGTCGCTGTTAAATATTTATCATCTGTGGTGACTTTTAAAGTCACTGCTAATAATATAATTGTTGTATATATATGATTGTTGTTAAATATCGCCATTAATAATCCAATTTCTTGTAGTGAGATATATTTGATTCACGTTACAATTAGAAGTAAAACCGTTCTCTAGCAGCTTAGTATAGGTATTTAGTTACTATCAACTTGACTTTAAATCTGAAAAGAGTTTGTCACGACCCGAATTTCTTACCGTCGAGATCGTGATGACATCTAACTCTTCCAAATGTTAGGCAAGCCAACACATAATGATTTAATTGCTAACCGCTACCCAAAATAGTAAATAACATTAATTAAGCCAAAGTAAAGTAAAGAAGTGCGGAAATTTATAATAATCCAAAAACTACTATACGACTACCTAAAATCTGGTGTTACAATCCACGAACTTCTAAGAGTTATTACAAATAATGATTTAAAGAAAATACATGTGTTCTCGAAATAAAAGAAAACCTGGAAACTAGGATAATTGGAAAGGGACTCCAGGGTCTGCGAACGCCGGCAGATCTACCTTGGATCTCCTGATGGACCGAAGGCAGCAACCCAACTCTGATCAATGCGGTCCAGTACCGGAGTCTGCACAGAAAGTGTAGAGTGCAGTATCAGTACAATCGACCCCATGTACTAGTAATTGCCGAGCCTAACCTCGGCGAAGTAGTGACAAGGCTATGACACGACAATAACATTAGTTAAATCATGTACGAGAAGATAGCAACAAGTGAAAATTTAGCAGATATTAATGGGAAGGGGGAGGAACATGCTGAGGGGAATATCAATTCTTGAAATAGTACAGTAAAGAAATGCAGTAAATAATATGCCTTACACCTATGAAAGTAGTAACACAGCAAACAAGTGCACGACATCCCCCTTCGTGCTTTTACTCTCATTCTCACCATAAGAAGCAACAGAAACAGTATGACATCACCCTTCGTGCATTAGCTCGCTCATAACATGGCACGACATCACCCTTCTTGCATTACCTCTCTCATAGCATGGCACGACATTGCCTTTCATGCATTATCACTCGCAGAATACGGCACGGCATCACCCTTTGTGCATTGTCACTCACTCACAATACATTGCACGGTATCACCCTTCGTGTTTTACACTCTTCCTCACCCAAACAACAGAACAGTAACATCCCGGAAAGGGAATCATCAATAACCAACCTCGTTTCAATATTTAACTTCATAATATAAATCTCAACTGGAGTCAATACTCAACCAATATCTACTTCCAGGAAAAACATGATAAGATTTGTTTAACATGAATAATATCCAGTTTAAGCAAGAACAGTACGAATAAAGAATACAACAGTCACAAGTAATAGACTCACTCACATGCTATGACTCGATATCAACGTATAGGTACTTGTCGCCTCACCTCTACGACGTATTCAACAACCAAATGCATAGCAAATAAGGCAACAACACCTAATCCCTCAAGGTAAGGTTAGCCACAACACTTACCTCGATTCCACGGCCGAACTCAAGCCTCAATCACCGCTTTACCCTTAGTTCCACCTCCGAAACACTCGTATCTAGTCATAATTAACTTAATAATATTAATTACCGCTAAAGAAATTAATTCCAATGCAGAATTATAAGTTTCCCAACAATTTCCCAAAAAGTCAAAAATCGAGATTTTAATTTCCAAGGGAGCCTGTTTTGGAGTGGAAAGGTAATACGGCGTCGCTGAGAGGAAGATTTATTTCTTATCTCAATGTAAGGATGATGATCAGAAAGGGCTGTATTTATCACTTAATTCGGGTTCAAGATGTGGAAGTAGAGTCACCAACCATTCAGTCCATACTTGTGGTTAATGAGTTTCCTAATGTTTTTCCCGATGAGCTTCCGGATCTCCCACTATAGCGAGAAATTAGTGTTCTATTGACCTACTACCAGATACTCATCCAATATCTATTCCTCCTTATAGAGTGGCCCCCGTAGAGCTGAAAGAGTAGAAAGAAAATCTAAAAGACTTGCTTGAAAAAGGTTTTATCGGACCTAGTACATCACCGTGGGGAGCACCTGTGTTGTTTGTGAGGAAGAAAGATAGCTCCTTATGGATGTGTATTGATTCTAGACAGTTGAATAAGGTGACGATCAAGAATAAGTACACGCTCCCGAGGATTGATAATTTATTTGATCAGTTGCAAGGTGCCAAGTATTTTTCAAAGATAGATTTCAGGTCTAGGTATCATCAGGTAAGGGTTAAGGAGAAAGATATTTGGAAGATAGCATTCAGGACCATATACGATCACTTTGAGTTTCGTGTTATGTCATTTGGTTTAACCAATGCCCCAGTAGTATTCATGGATTTGATGAACTGTGTGTTCAGGACCTTGTTATATTTGTCCGTAATTGTATTTATTGACGATATACTGGTGTATTCTCGCTCAGAGGCTGAGCATGTTGATTATCTGCATATTGTGCTCAAAGTTCTACAAAAAGGGAGGTTGTATGCAAAATTCTCTAATGTGAATTCTTGTTGAACTCTGTAGCTTTTATTGGGCATACCATTTCAGGTGAAGACATCCGGGTGGATACAAAAAAGATTGAGGCAGTAAAGACTTGGCCTAGACCCACAACACCGATGGAGGTTCGTAGATTTCTTGGTTTGGCATGCTATTACATGAGATTTGAGAGGGATTTTCTTCCCTTTTAGCACCCTTTACAAAGTTTACTGAGAAGGGAGCAAAGTTTTAATGGACTGATTCTTGCGAACAAAGTTTCTAGGCATTAAAGGACATATTAACTTCAGCACTGGTTCTAACGCTCCTAGAAGGGACCGATGGTTATGTGATCTATTGTGATACTTCAGGCATTGGATTGGGTTGTGTGCTAATACAGCATGGTAAAGTCGTAGCTTATGCTTCTAGACAACTAAGAAAGCACAAGAAGAACTACCCAACCCATTATTTAGAGTTAGCCATGGTGATTCATGCACTAAAGATGTAGAGGCACTACTTGTATGACATTTATGTTGAGATCTATATGGATCATAAGAGCCTCCAGTATATCTTCAATCAAAATGAATTAAATTTATATCAAAGGAGATGGTTGAAGCTACTTAAAGACTATGACGTTCATATTTTATACCATCCGGGGAAAGCGAACATAGTAGCCAACGCCCTCAACCGTAGATCTTTGGATAGACTGTCATATTTACAGCCGGAAAGGAGGGAAATACCCCATGAGATTCACCAGCTAGATAGTCTTGGAGTTCGGTTACTGGACTCAGGTGATATTGGAATTACTATTCAGGATACGACAACATCCTCTTTAGTAACTAAAGTGAAGGAACGCCAGTACGAGGATCCTGTGTTAGTTCATTATAGGGATACCACCCAGAAGGAAAAGACACCATTTGAGATTACAGAAGATGGAGTCCTCAGATATCGAAGATGATTTTGTGTCCCTAATATTGCAGGGCTGCATCAGCAGGTTATGAGAGAAATTCACTATTCTCATTATTCTATCCATCCAGGAGCGACAAAGATGTATCATGATATCGGGGAACTATATTGGTGGGATGGAATGAAAAAGGATATAGCAGAGTTTGTTCCTCAGTGCCCAAATTGTCTATAGGTCATGATTGAGCATTAAAAACCCGGCGGGTTATTGCAGGCTATAGAGATTCCGACTTGGAAGTGGGAAGTAATCTATATGGATTTCATCGTAGGCTTACCTCGTACCCAGCATAAGTTCGATTCGATATGGGTGATTGTTGATAGGCTTACAAATTCAGCCCATTTTTGACTGTTCGAACTACATATTCCCACAGAGTATTATGCAAGGCTTTATATTAAGGAGATAGTATGACTGCATGGTGTCCCTGTATCTATTATCTCGGATAGAGGAGCTCAATTTACAGCTAACTTCTAGAGGTCCGTCCAAAAAGGATTGGGGACTCAAGTAAGTTTTAGTACAGCATTTCATCCCCTGACAAATGGACAGGCTGAGTGTACTATTCAGACACTGGAGGATATGTTACGAGCTTGTGTGATTGACTTCAAAGGTAGATGGGATGATCATCTTCCACTTACTGAGTTCGCATAAAATAATAGCTACCATTCCAGTATTCAGATGGCTCCATACAAAGCTCTTTACGGATATAAGTTTTGGTCACCTATAGGGTGGTTCGATGTTGGGGAAACTACGTTAGTAGGACAAGAACTGGTACAGCAGGCAATCGAAAAAATTAAGCTTATACAGGAAAGGTTATTAGCAGCTCAAAGCCGTTAGAAGTCTTATACGGATAATCGACGGCGGGACTTGGAATTTTAGGTTGGCGATTGGGTATTCCTAAAGGTATCACCGATGAAAGGCAAGGTTCGGAAAAAGGGGAAAACTTAGCCCTCGGTACATTGGACCATATACGATCATACGCAAGGTAGGCTAGGTAGAATATAAGTTAGACTTGCCTTCGGACTTGGAGTTTGTACATCACCTCTTTCATGTGTCTATGCTACGTAAATGTATCGGAGATACTTCCAGAATTGTGTCAGTTGACGAAGTTCAGGTCATAGAGCAGCTATCATATGAAGAAACTCCCATTGCTATACTAGATAGACATGTCCGGAGATTAAGAACTAAAGACGTAGCTTCGGTGAAAGTACTTTGGAGAAACAACAATGTGGAAGAAATGACTTTGGAGGTCAAGGAAGACATTAAGTCTAGATATCCCTACTTATTTCCTCATCCAGACAACGGTCCAACTGAGACATCACAACCTTAAGGTATGTGTACAAATTCTTATGTTAGTTATT